ATTAAGTCATTCTAAGTCAAAGATATGGGTGAACAAAGGGAAAAAGATAAAGAGCAAGATACAATGTTTCAGTGTTCGGTGCAGTTGAAGAAAATCTCATTTGCTTATTTTGGAAGCAAAGTTTTTCATATTTGTCAGATGTACTTACTTTTGTTTTAATCGGATATAGGAAGTTGATAAATTGTTCCAAGCTTCAGCATTCTGAAACGACAGAGGACCTAGTTATAGACTATTCTCATTTAGGCAAAATAATTGCTACAACCAAAAATATAATTTCCTAGTCCAAGATGTGCTCTTTATAATCACAATTTTCAATAAGATATGTCTAAAAGTGTATGAGAAAATTAAATACATTAAACTTTTAAGATTTAGAATGAGAAAGTCACAAAAAACAGTTAACAAATTGATTTAATTATTAAAGTACTAATTTGGAATTTAGTTAAGATTTTATTTCCAAATTTAGATGTACAAAATAGTTGGACAATTTACAACATAATTTACACAACATATAGATTTATTACAAAGCTAAGACAATGGAGAGTATTGTTTCTTCTATCTTATAAGGCTTTGCTATTTTACCATCATCCTCCATCAGATGGGAGAACAAAGGAGTATGTGTTCTCCAGCGTTATTCCTAAGTATAATATTTTATTAATCAAACATATTTCTCTACCTATTCCTCTATAAAATGACAAAAATAAATTAAAGCTTTTATGTAAATCTTGATTCTAACAAGAACAATATGAATTATGTTTGTTCCTCTTTGTTCTGCTTTTTATAAAATACAGAGTATATGGTTCTCAAGTTCCACACATATGATTTAAAAATTAAGTGGTAATGGGCCTCTGCTTGCAGACATAACACAGTTAGTACCAGATTAGCGTTACTGCCAGAAAAAGCTACAAACTGGACAAAACTTAGGAAACAACTGTTTTTGAGAAGTTGGACAACAGGCAGCACAGGACTGTGACCCCTGAGACAGGGTAAACAACTGAGGTGTCTAACCATCAACCTAGGTTTCCAGCTAGAGGCACTTTCAGGGCTGGAGCACAGAGAGGTAGAAACAAAACAAAGCATAGTAAGTCCTACTGAGATGAAGAAGAGATATGAGCTCAGGGCTGAAAATGTAGCTGGAGTTTTCAGGGCATAATACCAGGGAAGAGAGATCTTTGCAGAGAATAAGCTCCAGAAATCAAAGTAAGCATCTCCTCGAGTCCTTCGCTGAATACTAAGCTATACTTGTGCTGGGCAAAACTTTTTGAGGTCAGGCAGAGACTAGCTACCAGAGAGCTATGAGCTGAATGGAGATTTTGGAGGTCACACACAGTGCTAGCAGTTATTCAAGTTCCAACCAACCAGCGTGGAGAATTCTTATTGATCACACATGGCATTAAGTTCCACCCCCAAAAAGTTATGCCTTAAGAGACGAGTGATTGCAACACTAGAATAAGGACAACTACAGACCCACCCTACCAAA